CATGAGAAACGTCTGTTCTTTATTATAGTGATTCAAATTTAATAACCTTTTGTTACCGAAATGAACACCATTCAGCAATGGCTTCTCCTTGTTCTCTTCTTATTATAGCTGACGTGGTTAGACTCCTTTTTAGTTTAAATACTCAGCAAATAATTCTGAGGAAAATCAAACATCCGATTCAAGTATTAACAATAACAACGAATCATGTCATCGCCAATATTATTCTTTGCACTGGTAATCATATTACTAGTATTGGAGCAGCACCGCAGTCTCCCAATGGAGGAGGAGAGGGTAGCCACTCCAATGATCACAATCATCAACAAAAAAGGAAAGTTGCTAGTCCATTAATAAAACAGGGCCATGAACACAAACAATACCAACACAACCAACGACAAATATATTGTGGCAAAGATGTCGTTGCCTATGCTCAATTAACCAGTAATGAAAATCAACTCGGCAATACCATCCTTTCATTTGAAAATGTTAAAGGATCAGAACGTATAACAGTTACTGGCTGTAATCAAACGAAAATTCGAGTTGAAGAAAGTGGAGTCTACTTTGGTGTATGGACTACACAACTGGGATTGACCTGCAGCACCGGTGAAGTATTCTCCTACGTACGTGTCAATGGAAAAGATACTGTCTTCTCTAACTCTGGTCAAACACAAAGTCGAGGACAAACATCTCTGCTTGTTCCACAATTAGTTCAACGTTTTCATCGAAATGATATTCTGCAAGTTGTACAGTACACAATTGATACGGATGGAGAAACTGGTGCATTGGCCTTGCAATCGAAGGATGAACCTCGTGCACCATCTGTCCTCTTCTCAGCGATCCGTGTCAGCAGCGATGGGCCGTATGCGCAGTTAGTCGGTTCACAAATTGAATATGGTACAAGTGGAAGTGTCATTCCATACGATGATTTTCAAGATAAGAAGTCTGTACATCGAATTCGTCTCAGTGCAGAGAATACATGTAACAATGGAGTGATTGAATATGAAGAAGATGGTCTTTACTACATTCAAACGTCTCTATAAATCGGTGGACAGAGTGCGAGTGCTAATTTCAGTCTTTGGCTACGTCTGAATGGAGTAGATTTAGCGAATACAAGAAGAGTGCAAACACTGATCGATAACAGTTCAGATATTCTAGTCAGTCAAAGTCTGTTGGTGCTTAAACGTCGTGATCAAGTACAGACTGTCTATTCAACAGATCCAGCGGATGAAACAGTATTTGGACTGATCGATATTATTGTTGGAAATGAAAGACCATCGTCATCCAGTATTCTAACTTCGACATTTCAGATTGCCAACAGACATCAATTGAAAGAGGAAGCCTATGCACAAATATAAAGTACACAAATACAACTGCCTAGTGATAACAACAGTTCATATTTACAATCAAATGTGGTTGTCTACGACTGATGCTGTCAATGCACATCGTATAAAAATTGATCATCGAGGACGTATCACATTTCAAGATTGTGGGACATATTTGATTGTTGCAAATGCAAACTTTGATGGAGGTGCAGGTGATTTTCATTTATTTTATCGATTGAATAGTGTTGATGTTCCCGATTCAAATGTCATTCAAACAATTTCCAGTGAAAATGAGGTATCAACATTAGTCAACAATTTAGCAATCAAAATTCAAAGGGGAGACTACCTTGAAATTGTTTATAGCACAACAAATTCAGAGTTAGGTCTGATTACACTTGTTGTTGATACAACAACACCAGCACCTCCAACGACACCGAGTATTATCGTTAGAGGGCTCGGCGACAATAACCACTATGAAGAGAAAAATTACAACAAGCAGTATTAATCAAAAATACTGGTTTTACTTTGCAGTGGTGATGGTAGTAGTCGTTCCTATCTAATATGAATAAAAACAGAGTGTTCAATAATAATATCTGTAAAATTTTGCTTCGTGGCTGAGATATTATATTTTTACTGGCAGTTTTGTCCAAAAAGGACCAAATCATTTTTCCATAAAGTTCTACGTTTCTATTCAAAACAGAGTTTCATAGGACAAACATCGTCAGTTGATCAAATCATTTTCAAAATGTTTAGAGATTCTCCACTACGAAACCTTTTCATCCGAAATTTTCTAAAAAACTATTCGCCTGGATAGCGAAATGAATTCTCTTCAGAATGAAACCTTTTCGAGGAGTTTTAAGCACTTTTTCGATTACTTTTTAGTTTTAGTATCTTACTTGAAGAATCGAAAAAGTTCAGAAAGAGTTTTGGAGATGCCACTCTTATTCATTCTAACATGTACGAAAAGCTCAGCAATCACCATATGTGCAAATTCATCAGGCAGATAAAGTCCAAAATTCTCTTCCAGATGAACTAGTTCTTAATCAAAAAGGTAAAACTGAAAGGTCTTTATCGACGCTTATCCAGTTAAACAAAACCTTTCATGTTCGTCTTTAGTGAAGATAAACTTTAATGGAGACATCTAAAGTTTGGGAGACCGTGAAAAAATATCATCATAAAAGAACTAAACAGACTTACAACAGCATAATGAAATATCAACAGCTGACTGCAAGTACAGACAAGCAAATGTGTGAAGTTTTCGTATATATTTTTCGAATGACGTCTACTGCTCAAAACCGGATGAGCTTCCTTTTCTCACACACGTCACAAACATAGTAGTTAGTATTAAGAAAAAGATAAAATCAATCAATACAACTAAATTCAACCAATTACGGAGAAAGAAGTACTACCCTGTTTGAAACATTTGAAAAACACATCATCTGGACGTGATAATGTACATAATCGTTGTTTGAAAGATATATATCATCGCTCATCGAACACCTCACACAATTCTTCAATAACAGTATTAATCTTAGATATGTGTAATCGCCGTGGAAGAAGGCATACGTCATCTTATTATTAAAACCAAAAGTAAATAAATAAATAGGATCCCTTTGGCTACAGACCTATTAGTTTGCTGAGTTGTTTAGGAAAAGTGTTAGAGAAGATTATTAAAGATCGTCTAACATTTGATCTCGAAGAACGAAATATTTTGCCACAACATCAAGTAGAATTTAGAGCTAAGAAATCCACATTATACAACATGTACCGTTTAGAAAGATATGCACATGATCATCTGTCAAACTAACACAAACTGCCGTTACCTTTTCTGACACGACGGATTAATTTGTGAAGGCTAATGAGCTGCCCCGATGGCACATCGCCCACAACCAGAAGATCCCTATTGCTTGTAGCGGTGTTTGTTCCCCATAGGCGAGACCCGACCAGATAGACGTTCTAGCATTTTGTTCAAAAATATTTGCTCTAAACGGCAGAGTTATTTTCAAAGAATTTCTACTTGATTTTCTGAGATTTTCGTTTTCCAGAGGCGCTGATTTCAGAAGTTTCGATGGAACCTTTATGTACACAACATCGGATTGGAAATTCTTTCAGCTATTCAAATCTTTTTTTGAATTTGTTCCAGCTATTATGGTCGACGAGAGAAATGAAAAATAAATGTGGGCCAATAATTTTTTGACCCACTGTATAACTCCGTTACACAAAACTTCGTGTTGAACTTGCCGTTATTGCATATTCATATTTATTACCAACAATAAATATACACATACACGCTGGGATAAATATGAGAAAGATTACAACAAAATAACGTTATCAAATTTCACTTATTATACATAAAACAAATCCCGCTATCTGTCCAGTAAAATAGTTATGTGTTTTTATGACACAACAAACAAAAAACATTATCCTATCTTAAAAAATGAGAAAAAAGCAAAAAAGGTAAGGGAGAAAAACAAAGATTAAATATTACTAGATCGTAATAAATGCAGTCGACTTAAAGGGGCGATGTCTTCACATCCTGGTTTTTTCACCAATTTGTAGAAGATATTTCGGAGTATATGCCAACTTCAGTTTTTTTATGCAAAGAGTTGAATCTAGCGTAGTTCGATAGAAAACATCAAATTGTATACGGAAAAAAATTCATTCGCTGTTTCCGAACGCAGAAATCTAACTTCCACCTTTTCGATGGAATATCAGGACTAAAAGTACTTTAAAAAACGTGTTAGGTCTAATGTTGCTCAAAGTAAACATTTCAGAGAAAATTCTAGGTACAAAAGGTGTTCAGAATCGAATTTAAAAATTGTTTTTATAAAAAGATTTCATGACGGACTGCAGAATTCGATTCTGAACAATTTTTGTATCTAGAGCGATATTTCCAAGTCTTGAATTCTTTTCTCGTACTCTTTCAGTTTATGTCTCAAAATTTTTTCAGAGCCACTGAACAACCAAAAATGAATTCTAAAAATTGTAAAGCTGTCTGTCTTAAAGCCCGTGAAATTCTCTACTAGATGAGATATTGCTCAGTATTTTTCGTTGATTCGTTATTTTACAAGTGCAAGTGTACAAGAGTAGAATGATGTTGATTAACGGTAAGTACCACTGATTAGTTATTAATCGAAAGGAAAGAACAAAACTTTTCTTCTTTCTTTCTCGTAGCAAATATTGCCCACGTATTTCTCTATTAATCTACGCAAGAAGCAAATTTTTATGAGTGAAGGACGAATAGGAATTGTTTTAATAATAGTCTTGTGGTTACAAATTTACGATCATTTTTATGTAATTGATTTTTTTTCTCACCCAAATGATGTCTTTAAGTCGGAAAACCTTCAGAACATATATTTTAGATGTATGTCTCTACAAACTGGCAAAGTTTGAAGAGATCCCCTTTAAATCAGTATTACTTCGTTTATTAATAACCTAAAAGATAAATTAAATTCGTGTAAGCCAGATAAAACTGACTTTTAAGAGCGCTCAACTTACCGCCGTGATAGCTGTGAGAATGATGATAATGTTGATTCTGATTCTGATGTTGATAGTTCCAGTTATCATAGTTGTTATTGTAATTATTATTGCTATTAAAATGAAGTAGAGATAAGGTAACTAGGTACATTTACACATCTATTAACTATATATGACAACGTACTTATTACTGTAATTTGTTCGCTGTCGTTTTGAATCGTGATAACTACTTGAACTATTATGAAATGATGACATTTGTTTTTGTTGTTCAAATTGTTGAAATCGTTCATCGCCTTTTCGTTTGCGTTCAGGTGGCGGACGAAACATTTCACCTTGGCGTTTATAATCGGTCACTAATTGTTGAGCGTCATGAAAACTCAAATCTGTATATTCAACATCATCAAATACTAAAACAGATAGAATATAAAATAATAGTATTATCTTTATGATCGAATACTGAATAAAATACTTACTTTCACCAATTTCAGGTAAATCAAAGTTTGCTAAAAGAATGAAAGAAATAATATAGAGATTACTTCTCATCTTAGTCGATTTTTACTTTAAAAATTACTCCATTCGCCCGCTCGCTCGCTAATCAAGGATTTAGAACACTTTTCTGTAGTTTTCTAAGACCTTGATGTTTTTTAGTTCATGAAAACAATACAAATTAAAGTCTAGGTTACCTACCTTTCATTTCATGTATAGCTTTTTCCGGTACTTCTTTTCCTTCTCGTTCTTCTTGCAATTTTTTTCGTTTTTGATATTCTTCATCTGATGGTATAACAACAACAGCTCGACGATAAAAATTTTCAAATGTTAACATTTTACGTCGACGTGCACTTGCATAGACATTTGTCTAAATAAATAAAATAAAAACTATATGTAAGTAATAGTAATTATGTCAGTAACTTATATACTGACAAGAGTGAAAAAAGTTTAATAATAATCTACTTGATCAATAATATAGTTTCGTTTTCTGTTTATAGCAATTTGGAATAATTTGTTCAAACACTTTGTAGAACGATCAATCAAGGCATCCCAACGATTATGATAATTGTCACGACGATATAAACCACTTATCTAAAATTATATAAGAACGGTTTATGTTGTATATTCACGTCATATAAACATTTATGAAAATACACTAAATTTATTACAACATACTTTCATTTGATTGATAATATTGTTTGTTCCTATAGTATTCAAATGTAGGATAAAGTTTTAAGAGAATAAAGCGGAAATATTCATGTTAGAAACGTATACACTACTCTAAATTGATAACAATAACTCACCAAGTATATAATATTTTTTCTCTGCGTTCATTTCTAAGTGTTTTTCGGCCCACACAGTTTTACCGCACGCAGGTAAACCTACCATCATTATCACCTACAATACAATAATAGATAAAACATCTTAGAGTTTTTCAATAATGCATCGAACAAATGACAAGAAATGGTGTGCACTATACTATATAGAAATTATGTAGGTCCCTTTCTGTTAATATGAGTAAAATGTTTCTTTTTAAAACTTACTTCACATTCTTCCTTGGTAGAAGGTCCAACAGTTCCTCTCATACGATCACCAACTTCAAATTCATTAATAAAACGATAACCATGTTTCAAACGATATTCCTAGCAAGATAAAACTTTACATAGTCTTTGTAGGTGAGTGTATAAACAACTTACGGTTTTTATTTGTCCAAAATTCGCTTCGAAGGCAACATTCTTAGTTAAAATATGTGGAAAGAGAGGTTTTGATTGTAATTCATTATAATCAATTCTGTAAGCTACACCACAGTCACGGTCATTCTTAGAATAAGATAACAACACACTGTCACATTCACTTTCAAAGTCCTAGAAAACATAGACCGAAACCGAATATGAAATAATTTGAATAGCTATTACATACGGCATAACATGTGATTGTATCGCCAACTGTATAGGATTCACCATAATTTTCAAATCGATTTGCCGTAGATTTCTTCCCTTAAAAAGATTAATCAACTAAGTAATTAAACGAAAGTTATTCGAACTTAGAAACTGGCTGAATATTGACTTTTTCTGCTGCTTCCGGTACAAAATACTGTTTTCGATCAGAGAACATAACGAATACGTTTTCATAATAAAACTTAGCGTACCCGTGCCTCCATAGCCATACGATAAAGGCTCCTCTCCTAAAATAAGCAAACAGAAAAACATTCTATCTGAACATCATGGGAAGAATGGAATCCATACCAAGAAATAATTTTGATTCATCAACAGACCAACCGACTCTGGCCACAAATGGAAATGATTCATCTTTTGGTAAATCAGGACAATCCATATGTTTTAAAACCTAGGTATAGAATTCATGTGTATTTAATAAATATCTCCAAATTCGTAGTTATTTTTCTTTAAGCAATTGACTACTAAGGTAGTCTTTTATATACACAAGCAAAATCTTTTTTCCCGGCTTTTCTACCACCAGGAACGAGAACGCTATGAACTTAATCATCGAACTGCCATACAATAAAAATTAAACGTTCACTTCACAGGTAACTAGATGATATTCTATCTCCCTAATTGACTTACTTTGACTTGATATGCAATTTTGTATTTATTCATTCCATAAGTGGCACGTACACCCGCCCACATTGTACAAAATCCTCCCTCTGTCAATGGTTCGCCTCTTAGCAGTCCATTTTGTACTAAAAGATTTAAATCCGAATTATAAACATCTAAAACAGTCTCTTTAGTGTCTTGGTTCCAATCATCTGGCTCTGTTTTAATTGGAGCACTGAACGACTGGCGTTGGTGGCGATAATTATTGTCATTATTATTTCTATAATGATGTGGTTCTTCTTTTTTTACGGGATATGGTAGAGGCGCAGAGATTTCATTATAATTGTGCGTCGAATGTTGCTGGTATTGCGAAGGAGTGACAGACAAGTGTTGCGACGGTAAAACATGAGCGTATTGTTGCTGATAAGAATGATGCGATTGTTGTGGTCTATAATTGCCATAATTATTGTAGCCACGATTATTATGATAATTAGAGGAAGGGTAATGATTATTAGAGCTACAACAAAAGAAATAACATAGGTGCCTTACTAATTTTAAAAACTCAGCTCTAGTCACCCGTATGACATCGTGATTATCAACAAAATAGACAAAGAAAGAACAAAATTGATCTAAAATATATAAACCATTATTTGAGAATGGGTCAGGAAAACCTCTTAAAAAGTTTCACAAAGACAACTAATTGATCGATTTCCGAATGTATAGCAGGCAATTTACACACCAGAAAACAACCCGTTGTAGACACTAATCATTGAACAGTGAGCAATCTTTTTATGCCACGGGTACATCAGGCTTTTTCTGAACAGAAACGGTTTTTTCTTCGTCAAACAGTAGTCTAATATTCGGAGAACGATGTTTTAACGAAAAAACCGGCTTTCAAAAAAAATGTTTTTCGATCAAAAACAGATGGGAGAATCCTTACCAAATTTTTCCTCAGAATATTTTTTCTTTCGAAATATGATTTCTTACACAGTATCCAGTGCAGTTTTAAGTACTGAGTCTGAATATGACCTTATTTTTCCTTGAAAGAATTTTGCCGAGAAATTTAGGTTTCACTTGAAAGACCATAAATTTTTGGAAAACCTGCCGGGAGAGTTAGAAGCATTTATGCTAATTTGTGCTAACTGTATTGATCCAGCATAGTCTGCAGAACATTTTGATCAAGTTTGAGCGCGGTTGAAAAATGAATGTGCGTGAATTTTACATTAGAGTAATCATAGTAGTTCGGAAACATTGTTATAGGCTGAAAGATTCGTTTTTTCTCGCTACTTAAAACGCTGAACTAAGAAAATTTTGCACCAAAACATAGTCCAACGTGTATAGGTTCAGGAGACCAGAAATCGTTTTAACTTCATATTACATTGGGCGCTTTTTCCGTGAAAGCAGAAAAGTTCAAAACATCTCTCAACTATCCTGGGACAGGATAGCATTGTGTTGAATTTAAAAATATATTTTAGACACCTGCGGATCTTTGGAGGGTGTCGAGCAAACTTTTTGGATTTATATGGATTATAAAGCTTACGCAGCAAATCACAGTTCATAACATATTCAGATAGTCCTAGCGAACACGGATCACAGGGAGGTGTGAGCGTTGTCTAAGATTCAAAGTCATGAAAGGTCGTTGGCAGATATACGTTCCTAAAGTCAAGGAAGCAAGCAAGTGTAGACGAGTGTTACCTTATATCCTTACCGGTCATGGGAAGCTAAAATCACTTTTTCACCATTGAACATTTGGTAACTTGAGTCTCTACGGTAAAAAGCCTTTAAAATCAGCTTTTAAACTTAAAAATATGTTTTACAATAAAATATTAGTCAAATTTCGGCTAAAAA